TTTTGCAGTTCAATTTATGAATGCCAGTTATAGTACTTCCTTTGAAAGACTCATTCCACCATCTATGTGTTGCATATAAAAATGCACTTCGCTTACTACAGAGTAAGTAATACTAATTCAACTGCATAAAACAAAATCTTAAGAGCCATGCAAGTAATATGATAATTAAGAAATCTTAATTAGTTTTAGCTATATGATAACCAAGATAGTACTGGTCCACTTTTTTTCAAAATTTGGTTTATATAGTGTATCTGGTAAAATTTTTGAGATTATAAAATCATTTTTTTTAACCACTTTATTCAAGTCATTCTTCTTTATTTAAGCCAACACTCTTCTTCATTTCCAGTAACTTTTGGGGTACCTCAAGGTTCTATCCTTGGTCCTGTTTTGTTTCTTATCTATACTAATAATCTTCCCGACAAACTAACATCAAAAGTAGCTCTTTTTGCTGATGACTAAACTTTTTACTAAAGTCTTCTCTTTTTGATCGCTTAGAACAGACAGCCGATGTTGAATCTAATTTCTTTACTATAACAGTAAAGAAATCAGATTCATCATAGATATACCATAATCACTACTCAAACGAGCTGTGACAAGGATAGTCACAGCTCGGTTCAGAAATATTCTATTGATATTACTAGTTACAATATAAAACTGTTTTGAAAAATCTATCGCATAAGATAAAAGATGGTGAAACTTGTCTATGAGTCAGTCACATCATAGTATGATGTGATCATCATTGTCAAGTTTCACCATCTTTTTTAAAGTTTGTTATAATGGTTGTCTTTTTGATGTTATAAAATTTATATTTTCATATTGCATATCATATAAAAGTTATAAAAACTATAAGGAAAACAAACTACTTTTTTTAATTCTTTACTTTTAAGATAATATTTTGAAAATCGCGGATGTTTTGAGTCGTGAAGTTTTGTGAAAGTATAAGTACTTTATTCATTAAAACACTTATAATTTTTTTTTTTTTTAGTTTTAAAGTTTAATGTACTAAATTTAATAGAAAAATTATAATTTTTTGTTATCATTTTTCGATTTTTAATGCGATTATTTAGTTACACTTTTATCTCAATACGCTTTTGACAATTGTTTTGATTTTATCAAACGCGAAACTGCCTTTATAAAATCAACTAATCAGATTGCGCATATCTCTGCCAATTCAAAAAAAAAAAAAAATTCCCAACCCACTATAGAATAAGGCTATTCTAAGAGGTTATTCTAAGCCAGTATAGTAGGGGTGGAATTTTTTTTTTTAAGTGACAGCCCTATAACTGTTGGCGGAGTAGTTACCTAAAACTCGCAATAACATAAAAATAAACTATATAAACGCAAAAAATCCTTCTGCGCAAATCCATTTTAAAGAATCGTCAAAAGTTTAAAAATTTGTTTTAATAACTCATACTGTTTAACTTTTATATATTGTATATACTTAAATATAAACTTTATTTTGTTGCGTAAGATATCAGAGAACAATTTAGTTTGGTAAGTTGATCGCCTTTCCAAATAAGATATCTGAAAATGAAGAATATCCATTAACATGTATGGCAAAGATTGCAGAAGCGGTACTTGATGCAGTTGGTAATACGTCAATTTGCAGATCACAGTCCAAAAAGCATCTACAACATTCTTGCATGAATTAAGCTTGTTTCGATTTTATATCGACTCTTCTGAAGAAATGTGGTGCTTACATTTTGATGGTAAGAGCATAGACAAACAACATTATTATAGCACTAGCATTTCGAGCAAGTCTAAATCTTTGGTTATATCTTTGAATAAATTAGTGTATTATCCTTGTCAACTTCATGTTCTCCACTTGATTCTTATGCATTTTATAAACTCAAAGATTGAATCCTTATCAACATCGCCTAATATTAATTACTGGTTCATTAATGAGTTGATTAGTAACTACCATGATGTAATTGAAAAATATAAGTGTAATGGGCCATTAATCAAAAGTTAAAAAATATGGTCGCAATGATTATACAGAGCTAGATTTGTTATGTGAAGGACACAAGTCTAATCGAGAGGCTTATTTCAAATGCACAATGGAGTTCAAGAGATATCTTTTCTTGAAATATATGCTTTTGACTCGGATAAAAAAAGAATTGATGTTAGAGGCGTGCTATTTTATTGTAGGTTACGAGGCCAAGCCATAGTTCTCTTGCAGAAAAAATATTGAAGATATAAGGATCTTAAAATTGGCATTAACTGGTAATTGTCTTGGGTGTTGGGAAAAACACTGTAATATTTGGAATGATTGTCATAAGACATTTATTATACAAATAAAGTGAGCAAAAGGTCGCTTGCGAAAGATAAGTTATTTCTTCAATGAAACATCACTGTAATAAACTTTGATCTGCCTATGTGTGTTACTGTAATAAAAAAATTTAGTGTTTGAACTGAATATACTTTCATGACGAAATTTTTCAGATTTATAACTAAAAATTTAGAACTCAACAAACAATATCTTTACCCCAAGTTACATAGATTTTTATGCAAAGTTTGTAACCATAGAGGCTAGCCACACTAGACAATTTGCAGGGTCTACAAATTTGGGGACCCTTTTTTAAATATAGGGGTCCTTTTTCCGAAAATGAGGATTTTTTATCAAAACACCTAGTAATGGACGGTTTGTAAGATTTGAACGCCTTTATGACAGTTGGGGGGGGGGGGGACTCTAACACTCTAGCCATAGCACTGTTCTTAAACTATTCTCAGCCTTATGCAAATTTGTTACTTTGCTTTTTTTTAACTATCTTTTAAATTAAAAAGGTCATTCTTTTTAAAAACAAAACATATCAATCTGTCGCAGCGACTGAATTTTGAAAAGTTTTATCATTTCAAAAAAACGAGTTTGCGCAGTGGGTTTTTTAATCGATTACGGTTAAATTTATTTTTAAAATGCTTTTTATAATATTTTTCCACCGGTAGTAATAGGGCAAAATGGTTTTTAGAAACAAATGTAAAAAATTCCCATCTCTATTATACATCTATACACGCTGTAGTATACAGTACAAATGAGTTTTAAATGTTTACATACTCATTTTTAAAAAAAGATAAGCGCGCAAACTCTAGGTAGAAAAATAAATAATCGGAAATTTTCCAGTAATAACATTGAGATATTTGTATGTTATATTTATTCACTGGTTCTTATTTACTCTCTAGTTTACTGATTTAAGAAGAAATAAATTATGCCAACCAGTTGTTGTGCAGTTGGTTGCTCAAACAAATTTAAAAAAAATGAATGTGGATTGAAATTTTATAAATTTTCATCAGGAAAATCACTTTTTGAGAAAAGGATACATATAGACTGGATTAAAACTATTAATCGTAAGGATCGGGATAGTTAGGAAAGTGAAAAAATTAGTAAAGAACGGGTTTTGTAGTGCACATTTTGTATCAGGTATGTCCTTTAATGAATGAGGTTAGCTAATAAAACTATATAAGTAGTAATAAGTTTAATAAGATTCTTTAAATTAGTAATTTATAATATTTGGTACATTTATTAATTTAATTAAATAATGTCAATTGTAAAAAGAACTTATTATATTTTAGGGAAATGTTCTGATGACCCATCTGACATTGACTGGAATCCATCTGCATTTAATAACCTTGGAGCTGCTCCGATTTCTAGCTTTCTTTAAAAAAAGACCAGAAAAAATTGCAAAAGTTTTATGTAAAAAACAATCTTTCAAATAATCAATACTGCTATCTAGCCAATCAAATGATAAAGAGATCGATAACTATAACGATAATGTAAATACTGACATAAATCCGTCAAATGACGAGTCAGCTATTTCTAAATTTTGCCAGCATGATACTTATAAAGCAGAAGTGGAAACTCTTAAGTTTCAGTTAATGCAATAACGAAATGAATTGATTGAGAAATCTAATGAAATTATTGAACTTAAGAAAAATAATGCTAGACTAGACCATAATAAATATATTTCATACCAAAACCTAACAGATAAATAAATGATTTTTTTTTTCAGCATGTTTCGATCTACGTTTATGTGGCTCTTTGAAAGAGTTAAACTATATTACAAAAGTTCACTCAAGATTATTGTTGAAGGACCATTTCTTAATTGTACTCTTAAAACTAAAATTAGGTCTATTAAATAAAGATATTTTTTTTTTATTCAGACTAAGTTCAGAAGTAGTTTCAAAACTTTTCAAAACAATAATACTAATTCTTTCTGCTAAAGTTGTCAATCTCATTGTTTGGCTATACCATGGAATAAAAAAAAAGGTAACCCCCCTATATGTTTTCAGAAAAAAGTTCAACGACTGTGTTTGTATTATTGATTGTAGTGAAGTATTTATTGAAAGACTAAAAAATTAAACTCCAAGATCACAAACTTGGTCTAATTATAAACATAACAATACCATTAAATATCTTATTGGTGTTAAATCAGCTGGGTAGTGATTGACCGAAATTCGGTTTGGTTCCGGTTCCGGTCACAACTCTGACCGGATCCTGAATACTATCGAAAATGGGTATCTTAAAGCTTTATTTAGCATTATCATTTTGATAATGCTAAATACGACGTGTTATAAGCTCTCGCAATAAAATGTTTTAGAAATATGTAACAAGTTTATCAATCATTTTGAGAATGAGATCTTTTTCAATTGTTAAAATGAAACTTGGTTCACTTTTAACTGCAGGGGGTAAGAATACAAGAAAATCACCTTCAGAACAGAGACATGCATGTAGCTGCAATTGAATTTGATAGTAGTACTTGTGATTCTTTTTTATAATAAGATCTTTATTGATTGGAAAATCCTTATCTTCTTCCCATTCTCCAAAACCATTTTGAAATTTAGTTTGATGATAACTGCATTTAATCAATGCATCTGGAGAAGCTCCAATGAAGTTGTTCTCTCACATAAAAACCAGTATCTGAAAATTGGAAATTTATTTAACTATATTTTACTTTTTTAATATAATATTTTTGTGCAACATTTTCAATTTCTTTTCCATATTGTGAGTACTGATTAATAGAATTTTTTATATAATGCATAGGTTTTTTAACCAATGGTTCATTTGACATATAATTTATGTTATAATGTTATACTTCTTTAGTTTGTGTTAGAATTTTATACTTATTTTGAATTCAAAGCTGTTATACGTCCTGCACGGTGCATCATCAAAACAGGATTCAATGATTGTGTTTTTGTTTGGTTGCATAAGTTATTATACGATCTTTGATTATTATCATTTTTATAATCGTTATATATACTTTCACAAAGAATTATCAACTTATCCTCAGGTAAATTTATACTTGTTGGACCATATAGTGATGTGAGAGTTTTAGAAGTGTTGTCTCTTTTGTCTCAGATGAGGTTTCAGTATCACTAGAGATTCAACAAGATCAATACTCGTAAATATTGCAGATTTAAGAATAATTTTGTAAAGTTTTTCTCTTTAGCTGTAAACTGGTGTTAACCATCTATTGGATTATTGTTGGAAAAATGTTTTTTTAAAGGTAGCTTTGCAGCCAAATCTTTTTGTAAAAGACTTTTTTGAGGTCACCGAAAATCTGGAGCAG